AAATAATAAATAAAACAAAACCATCAATATAAATAACCATGAGAAATACAATAATTAACCAACCAAAAAACAATTGCTCTTTTGTCGAATCGTAACATCAAGTAAACATATAATTCTTCCACAAAATAATTAAATCAAACATTTGAAAAATATTTTTTCCAAAAGGTTGAACTACACAAAACCATCTGTGAATATAAACTACAATAAACCGGAAAAAAAATGTCTAGTTTGAAGTCGAAATCGATTCATTTTCCAATCAGTCTTGAAAACAGTCCCAATGCGTTTATGCAGAAGCTGCCAATATTCAAGTAGATATATCCTCAACGCCTTCAACTCATCCCCTTGATGAGCCAAAAACACAAATTCACAAATAAGCAGAATGGTTAGTTGACCATTCAAAAACACAAATTCACAACGCCATTCAACTCATCTCCAATAATATTCGAAATTCAGAGTAAACCTTATCGGATACTTGTTTTTGTGCGCCGAGACTTGACAATAGCCGCCCACATCGCGTCCCTCTTGAGCTGCCATTTTTCCAGATCGACATCGGTTGCTTCACTGTTCGTCGTCGGGTGTATTGTCGGACCTACAATCGCCGGAAGACACCCGATAGTCGACTCGCGGCTCGAATCGCCGCCTCATTATCTACGGGTTGGATGATGAACTCATGCCGCGTCGCCACCAGTTTTAGATCCCCAAATTCGAGTCACCGCCGCCATAATTCTTCAATTGTCTTCAAGAGGAGAGATATGTCTGGGAGAATCAGTAATGAAAAGAAAAACTGGGTCTGGATTTTGGTTTATGGTGGTCTGTGTATTTTAGTGTGTGATGACTACAATTGGGAAAAGAAACCGTGAAGAGATAAGAGATAAAAAGAGGTTTAATTTGTGGAATATAAAAATAGTTAATGACGTATTACTGGAAGGATGGATATCAAAACGGAATGAAAACATTGATATCGTTATTCTGTCTGTAATAGAAATAGTTCCCGTCCATGGGGTAATTATTTCAATTATTTGGACATATTTGATCAGACATTTTTTGTAACTCAAAATCTAACTCAAGTCTAACTCAATCTTACTCTCCTCAATATTATCAATATAACTAAATAACATCAATCAATCATCATCATACATGGCATCTACTTTAACCATTATATTTTAAATATTATTTTAATATAAATTCAAAATTTAATTTAAACCTAACCCAATCGATTTTATCAAAATTAACTTTGTTTATCCAAAAAATCCAATCAAAACTAAAATAAGTCATATCTAATCATCCCTTAGAATCTATGCGAAGCTTATTATTCAATTATGAAAGTTTGTGAGTTTGACTCCAAGCGGCTCCTTATCTATATTTCATATAATGGTACAATTCATTTTAGCTACTTTTAATAATAGTTTCCCCCCAAAATACTTTAGGCTAATACTAAAAAAAAGGTATTAATTTAATCCTAAAAGTATTCATAATATTTTTCAAGGTGGTGTTGTCATTATATCCTAAAGGTTGATAAAACTAATTCAGTCAAATAATTATTTATATTAGTATTGAATAAATATTAAGAACAAAAACTTGCATTCAATTGAAGATTGAACTATAGTATTTCAGTATGTTGGGAGGCTGTGAAGCCGAGAGAAGAAACAAAAAATGAGAAGGAAAAATTATGTATAGTGAACCCTAAAGAGGGTATTTATACCTAATACATTTTTTTTTTTTTTACTAAAAGTGCTATTTAAAGAAACACATCTTATACTACAAAATACAACTTAAACAATCCTAATGTAACATCTAATATTCTAATATCCCCGACAAGAGAAACATGTATGTTATTCATATTCATCTTGGAGAGGCATTGATGAAGTAAGAGTGGGCTGAGGGCTTTAGTGAATATATATGTCTGTTGTTTGGTCTTATGATGGTACAAACTGAAGGTTGATTGTCCCTTTTGTTATCTTTTCTGTGATGATGTGGCAGTTAATTTTTATGTGTTTTGTCCTCTCATGATGGATTGAATCATTTGAGATGGAAATGGTTGATTTGCTATATGAAAGTAGCAAACGGGAAAGTTATAGTCAATTTTTAAATCCTGAAACATGTAGGGTATGAAGCTTCTAATGGATCTAAAGACCCAATAGATACCAACCTTTGAATTCTATAAAGGTTTATGTGTTCAAGTCTAAGTTGTCAGGGATAAGCTTGATTCATTTGTTAAGGTTCTTTTCTCTTGATTGATTTAGTCAATGTGTTGTTTAGTTCTTTTTGTTGCAGCGTGTGATTGTTTGGTTTAATAACATATAAATTTGCCTACTAATGAACCAACACATATGAAACGCTTTGTATAACAAATAACAACTTTGTCATTAAACATAAATGAAAAATCATCCACAACGAGTTTAGACACTAAAATAAGATTCCTTCTAAACAAAGGAACAAATAAGGAATGTCTTAAAATCAAACTACTAGTAGAAAAATCTAAAGTAACGTCTTCCACTGCAACTATTGCTACTTTCATAGTGTCACACATGTAGACGGTC